AAAAAACCCCCCCCCCCCCCCCCCCCCAACTAACAATATTTCATAGGGACCACAAGATCACAAAAACACATGCCTGCCACCTATTCCCTACGAGGCACTCCCCTACCAACCCTTACGTGTATAAAGTTCGGTAATTGGGCAATCAGAAGAGGCTTAAAAGTTATTCATTCTTCCGAAATCTAGCAGAAATTTTTAGGATTTCTTGAGACAACTTCAAGATTCCTGGGTATCCGATCACTCATTGAAGAATAACTTGGTCTAAACGCAAGTGGACAAGGTCTGAAAGTAAAGCCTAAAATCATCTATATGACAGTTTTTTTTTTGTATTCCATCATATTCAAAGCGATTCGCTAAACAAGAAGTCAGTCCTCAAATCATTGACAGACTATGTTAAAATTATTAATAGTGAAAGGTGAGAACCAGTACCATGTAGCATGCTAGCAGTTCAACCAATGAGATGGCATCGGTAATCTCACACAGTGATGGATTGAAGAGAGACCATGATTCATCATCAGATACCCTATACTTTTTTAAACAACAAGATGCATCACAGTCCAAATACAATGCTGGATGGACCTCTTGACCACTTAAATTTTTACAAGGAATCTGGTAGGCTATATTCTTCTCGGACAAGGATTCTGGATTTAATGAACCAGTTGGATTTTCTAAATCTTCAGCCAATGCATTCTTATGAACTAATCGCAATAGAAACGACACAGCCATGGGCATAGACATAATGTTGGCTGAAAAAGGGCAATGAGCGCATTGAACAAACTCTGTTCTACAATTTCCTTTGGGTGGGGTGAAAGAAGCATCATCTGATGATCCGACCACCTCAAGATGCGTGATTATTGATTTCAGGACAGCCATCAGAGTAGAGTAACCTTCCAAACTGAAAAACTGATCTCCACCAATATGTGCAAAAATATGCAGCATTGTTAACACCAACGAAGACTCATACCTGCAGATCCTTAAAATACTGTATGACACCTCCCAAAGAAAACCAGTACGATCAACTGCTTTAGAAATTGATGCCAGTATGGAACTCCCTGCTATCAAATAGTTCGTTGATGCTGGTGTAAGTGACAATGCTCTGTTTACACCGTCAACAGAGATATTCACTCTCAAAACACCTTCAATCGATGTCTCCAAAGAGGCATCAATACATGATAAGATCCGCCCATCTATTATGAAGTCTTCTATGAGGGAAAGTAACTCGTCCAAACAGAGCGATTCAGTAAACAAGCTTCTTATTTCCACATCAAGCATTGCTACCAACGGGAAAAAAAGGAGGAAATATGGAAAGTATCATTAATATGAAACCAAAGAAAAAGAGATGATGAAAATCTGTTTTACCATTAGTCACTAAGAGAAAAAAGAAGGTATACCTTCACATATGTGCCCCGAAAAAGAATCCAAGCAGGTATTGCAGTTCAGAAAGTTCCCATATTTATGCACAGCAACAACATTGAAGTTGAGCAGCAACAAGGAAAAGAATACACAAGCCTTCTCCCTGAAAGTCATTATTAGTAATTCAATTCTCTTAGAAAGCAAGCAAATAATTCTGAATTTTAAGGATCTCTCTTAATCTTTTTGGGGAGGAGGGAATCATGAAATAAAAAATGTTTCCTAAAAGGAGTAACTATTTGCACTGGTACAGATAGCAAAGACACAAGATAAGTCAGTTTGCAGACCAAATGAAACAACTTACATTGGTAAAAGTTTATGCTCCATGTTAAGGGAAGCCAAAATCTCTTGCACCATCCACTCTTTTTTATTAGTCAAAGAACTCCTCTTTGAACAAGCCCTAGTTGCTGAAAAAATTCTGGAGATGCTGCGGCAGTCTTTTATATTAGAGAAAAGGACACAAAAATCAGGGATAGAGTTGTCCAGGGTTCCAGATTTTATTTCTGATGCTCCCACCCCCTCACAGCCAGAAAGAGGAACATTTGTCCCAGGCATCTCTACAGTAACCCCAATCTGATTAAGATAGTTTTCTTTTGCCTGTACAATGTCACAAAGATCACTCCCATGGCTCCCTTGCATAAAACATGGATCAAGATGATGTTTACTGCTATGAATATCTCCTAACAAGCCAGAGTTGCAGTATTG